GACATTTAATTTTGTGCATTTTTAGCTATGAGATTAAAAATGATTACAAAATTCTCAACTTTGATTTTTAGCGACGAAAATGTGTTGTAGACAAAGTTATGCCTTTTAGCGACCAAATATCATTGTCATTAAAAATGCCATTATTTTGTTTTTCGCGACCAAATTGGGACATTTTATGATGAAGTATTAGCGACCAAATGTTTGGTCTTGTAAAATCAAACATTTTGCGACAATATAAAATTGGTCGCTAATTGTCATTTTTAGCGACATTTTCAAAAATTCGTCGCTAAAGACTTTTCTAGACGCATTTTTAGTGACTTTTTTAGTGACGAAACTAATTTTGTCACAAAAACCATTTAGAGACCAAAATAATAGTTTTAGCGACCAAAATAATTCGTTGCCAAAAGTCTTATATGTTGTAGTGTGGATGTGGCGCACATCACACAAAATTTAAATTTACATTATACATTTTATTTTATTGTACAATTTTCTAACAACTTTCAAATATCAAAATAAGACATCAACCTCTCAACACCCCTATCATTTTGTGAACACTACTGGTCCACAAATCACTATCCTCTCCCTCTTCTTTACGGTAAAGAATGGGCTCGAGGGGCATTTTGTTAATTTATTATTATTATTTTTGAGTAAATTGGATTAACATTATGGGGATTTAGGAAAAAAAATATATAGTAATTCTCTCAGTTTTAACATAATTGGGACTCCTTTTGATTCACATAATATTTAACTCACTTTTCATCAACAATTTCTTATTCACAAGCATACATGAAAATATAGACCATCAAACATATATATAGATAATTGTGGCAAGATATATGCATTTAGCACGTGTCTAATTCCCCTATAGAGCTTTCAAATTCTAGATTTCAAGAAACAAACAAGATGGTTTAAACACTGGTAAGATAGGCAATTTATGCCCTCTGAAGATAATACTAAAAATGATAATTATAATGAACAACTCACTCCACAACTCATCACAGCGAAATCACACTAAAGTAGTAAAGTACTAGTATTTCACCCTCTAGGCACTGTTATCTATTCTATGCTAATTAAAATTTCTACCAATTCTGTTCATGCAAAGTAATGATCCTAAACAAGACAACTTGAAGTCAGAACCAAAAGCAATCAATTCCATGACCAGTGTTATCACTTGTCAGAATGCAAATTCAGCATACTGCAGTCATCATCAATTCCACAAGAGCTCAGTATCGAATAAAAGATCCAATTCCCAATCCACCAATTAGAGATTCCCATGTGGGTTTTGGATTTCAATTTGAAGATACCACCTTAACTCATAAGCTTAAGAAAAAACCCAAAAGAACTCCATATATACAATCAATCTGTCAAACCTCTTAAAAAGAACATGATGGATTTGAAATCTATCAAACCTACGCTACAAAACATGAGAAAATTCCATATATACAGTTAACCAACAAGAGATTAAATTGTAAACAGGATGTTCCTTAGAACTCCTCATCTGCGGTATAAACAATTAAATATGACCAACTCATCTCAATTGTGTGCCTTAACAAAAATTTATCACTCAAGTATATAGAACCTCAAAAATTTAGCTGAAACGACAAAAATGGACATAAAAAGATTTATCACTCAAGTATATCACAAAAATTCCATTCTAAACACAAAAATTTATCACTCAAGTATATAGAACCTTTGCCATATCCAAGTCTATCCTAGCCGACTCATTCAGCTAAAAAGATTTGATTTAGATTCAAAAACAATTGAACACGCCTGTATAATTACCAACATACATACATGCAGAGAAGACATAATTACCAACATTTACATAATAAATGCGAAGAGCCAATTACACACCTGCATAATTAAAAAATATAGCCATCAATTTAGTTGCTTTGTAATCAATATCTAAGTATATGATGCATAGACAATGTGAAGTATAATTGTGAGTTGTGGGAATGAAATAAAATCCATTTGTTCATTTTCTTTCCTCCTCTGGATTGAAAAAAAAAATCTAAACATCTTGAATTGTACAATAGAAATATATATCATTATCCTGTAACGGTTGGGAATGGTGGACTTATTTGTAGCATAGAAATATTATCCTGAACACTCACTATCTTTGAAGAACTGAGTAAAAGTGAACTGGATCAAGAAGCCCCAAATGGAAAAAAAAAAATTAGAGTAAATTACAAAAACATTGCTTGAGATTTGTTTAAAATACGAAGTGTCTCCTATAATTCTAAAAATCACATTCCGCCTCTTGAAGTTTTTAATTTCATAACAAATAACATCTTTTGTTAATAAATTATCAAGTAATTAATAGTTTTTAATTATGTTAAAATTTTATTTCAATTAATAATTCAGATGATTTTATTATTGTATAGGTAAACAGCTAGAAATTTAACTTTTTTAATTAATTTTGTTAAATAAAAAATTCTGACGGGGAGGTATTTGTAATTTTTCAAACTATAAGGGACAATTTTTATTTTAAGCAAACCTCAGGGGTGTATTTGTAATTTATCCATTTAAAAATTTTTTTTTTTAGAACAATAAACAAACTAAACTTGGGTTGTTTTGGAAATTAATTATTTTAATTTTTTTTGACTTTTTATGAAAAGATTGAAAGAAAAGTAGACTGAATAATTGACTTTATTATTATTATTGTTATTATTATTATTATTATTATTATTATTTTATGTTCCTAACGTATCAAATAGGGCTAGACTTTGCGTTCTGTTATTGCACATATATTACTAATTTACTATTTTTAATAATAATATTTTGAATAAATTATATTAACTTCATATTTAGAAAAAATATAATAATTGTAGCAACCTAAGTTCAAACAAATCAGAACTAATACAAAAGGTGTGAAAAAACATATATAAAAAAATGACAAAACTATTTATTTATTTATTAAATTCATATAAGTAATTAATTTTTAATGAAAAGATGGTTACCTATTATGTGAATTATAAGCTAAAGAGAGCTTAATATAATTATGCCAAACTTATATAAATCAGTATTTTTTTTTTTCTAAATTTGAAGAAGTCAATATATATTTTTTTTATTTACTTTTGTAGGATAGACAATTAAGAAAGGGTTTCTCTCTTGTCAACAATACTAACTAGACCGCCCAGTTAGCCTGTTGTCGGTCTAATCTAGTCTTACATTTATTCAAGTCATTTATTTTGTAAAACTCACAAGTAAATTATTATGCAAAAAATAAGTCGAATTGATATTTATAATTACATGATTGATTCACATTTATTTTTATAAAAAAATAGATGACTTTTATAATAGACTTTTCAATTTTTTAAGACAAATATTATTTAATTATGTAATTATCGATATCCAATCAATTTGATTTTATGAAAAAATAATTATCATAACAAATCTTACAAAATGAAAGTTATTCGAATAATTTTGATAGACTCGAAATAAGATAAAGAAAATGTGGTGACTTATTTATGTTAGATAGTTATGAGATAAAGAATAACCCATTTACTATATTTTGTAATTTTTCATTTGAAGAAGAATATTATATTGCCGATACTATACATAGTACTATGGGAGAGAGAAAATAAATAAATAAGTGAACACTACTTTTTAAATTTCAGCTAATGTAATTTATTTAAATTACTTATCTTTTCTTTTCTTTTTTATTGGAGCGTAGGAATTAAATTTATTTAAATTACTTGGGCAGGCACACTACTAATTTGACAATGACAAAACTGAACCAAGTAAATAACATTCTTTACGAAAAGGGCAAATTACACTTTACCCCCAACCATTACTATTTTTCACTTTATTTTCCCAAACTAAAAATGGATACAACGCATTCTCCTCATCTTCTAAAAAATTTTATTCAACCCTTATGTCTCCATTCTATTAACAAAATAGACGAAAAATATGCATATAATGTAGGGATAGGCATTCGTCGGGCCGGGCCAGGTTCAGATTAGGACGACACTACATAATAAGGGACTTTGTATCTATCCCAACCCAGCTCAGCCCGGTCCTAATATCGGATCTCTACATTTGTCCAAGCTCAGTTCAAATATAATTATAAATTCCAAATCCACCCATTGAGGATGTTTAAAAAAATATATATATTCCATAATTAAATTCAATCACATGTTATATTTATTAAATAAATATACTGACATCATTATAAATTGAGGATTTTGTATATAAATTAAAAGATTTCTTAAATAAATTCAATCACACATTGCCACAAATGTGAGTTTCAATAAAATTAGCAAAGATAAAGTTTAGAACTTAACAAAAAAAGTATATTTTAATATATTATAATTAATTAATTTAATAGTGGGTCGGACTAGTTTGAAAGTATAAATTCCAAATCCATACCATTAATATATCAAGCGAAAAATATTAGCTCAGCCTGGTCCTATAAACTAAAACAATCTTCCCAAACCCTAAAAAAGTAGCTGGCCAATTCCCACGCCTAATATAATGTACACATGTTATATTTATGACAAATTTTAAAAGTATTTTCATCGTAAATATTATATGTGCACATTACATATACCTTTTCCATCTGTTTAGTTAACAGAATGTGACATAAGAGCTAAATTAAAACTTTCAAAAGATGAAGATATACATTGTATCAATTTTTAATTTGAAAAAATAAAGTGAAAAACTGTGATAGTTGATGGGATAAAGTGTAATTTGCCTTGACAAAAATGATTCGCAAAATGGAGAATTCCATTATCCACATACCATATGGACCTTTAGTAATAATTAATTTTCTTTTTTAATTATAATATTATTTTTAGATACCATATGCATATTTAGTTATGATCAACACTTTATTTCATATATACCTTTAGTTATGATCATTTTTTTTAATTATAATATTATTTTGAATTATTTAGTTTTAACTCTTTTTTTTTTGCTTGATTAATTATTACGACAAAATATAGAATTATATCATTTTGTTATAAATTGTCTAATCATAAGGTGAACAAAATGAGACACACAGATGAGGGAGACAATATAGGTGATGCAGTGGACCATTTCGTGAAGACTAGGGTCTCTCTATCTTTGTCCCGTATTCTCCACGGGAGGCTTCTTTGCAATGGCAACAGAGCATATCCATTGCATTGTGGGTGGGTATTGACTGCAAGAGACGACAATCCATGTCGTCATCGTCGGCTTGAGAAGGTTTACTTTCTCACTGCCTCTAGGGTTCTCTTCTCCAACCCTCCTCATATCAGCAAGTTTTGGTACTCCAGCTTTCTCTCTTTCCATCTTCCATATACTTTTGTGGATCATTTTTTTTGTTTTTCTTTTTTGGGTGTTTTAATGTTTGTTGCATTGATTATGAGAGAAATGGTGGATTAGTTCATTCATATACAATCATCATTAATTTTGAACTAGGATATTGTTGCTTGCTTTCCCAGTATATATTGAATGTCACAGAATTAGATGATGCTCTGATCAAATGCCACTCTATTGGAAGATCATAGGGATGTTTGATTGGACGGACTGGATAAGGGGATTAGAATCATCGGACTTGAATTCTGTGAATCCCAGACTATTTGGTTGGATTGGATGTGTTTGTTTTCTCATAAGATTAGATTAAAATACTGTTTTACCCTTTGTCAATTGTTTACTAAGTAAATCTGTCTTTAAATTTAATCTTTATTTATAATTGATTAGTGGACCATAATTAATTGTTTAATTTTTTCAATGTTTCAAACAAACATTTTTCCAATAGTTACATTTTTTAATGGTCACATTCTTTCAATATAAATAAGACCATTTCCCTTCTAATTTTTATCCAACACAAATTTTTTTTTTTTTTTTTTTTATCGGTAAAAAATTAACTTTATTAATGCATAGAATGAGCAAAGCATAAATACATCAACAAAGAAAAAGAGTAAAGAGCACACACCCAAAAATCAAAAGAATAAAAAACAAAAGTTGAAGAGATTTCAACAAAAAGCCTTCACACCCACAGATTAAAAGCAACATACTAGCTATGTTTCAAGGCTCAAAAAAAAAAAAAAAACCAACAGCAGCATCACACCACAAACAACCAGCAGCAACAGCATCCATTAAAAAAAACCAGCTATGTTTTTTCAAGGCTCAAAAAAAGAAAAAAGAAAAACACAAATACAAACCTAGTACCTACCAACAACAAAGGAAGCAAATGATATATGATGAGGGCAAAGTAGACTTTTTACGGTTTAATCCATGTTCGGCGGACTAAACAAAAAAAAAAACGCCAGTTAAGGGGCTTCCAATGGATTTTAATCCAATTCCATACCTTAATCCTTCCAATCAAACACCTCCATAGAGTTAGATGATGCTAATCTATTGCTGAGAATAGCTATCTAATAGCTAGGGGTGTTTAGGCAACATTTTGGCTTTTTAGGTCACATCACCTCTCTACTTTTTTACTACAAAAAAGTTAAAAAGTCATAAAAAGCCAACTTTTTACCAACTTTCCAAAACATCAGCTAATAGGGTTGGTCCTGTTTCGATGATGTGAACCGTTCATTTTGTAGAGCTACCGTGTATATCATCATGAAAAAAAATTAGCATTGATCTGACAATTGTAGCATTTTTTTTTGTAGTCTCTAAAAATATGGATAGTCTATTTTCAAAGCATTCTTGTCATCTATTTTTTAAAAAATAAAGGCAATAAAATAAAAATGTTACGATTATTGGATCAACTTTATTGTTTCCATTGATGATATATACAGAGGGTCCTATAGAATGTACAGTTTGGATCATCAAAAAGAGACCTATGGTGCGCTCTACGGACCCCTCAAGTTCTCTCAAGTTTAGATTTAAAATTGAGATTTGATGTTAAGAGAAGCCCAACCTAGTTGATATTCAGTAGTTTGCACCCACTTCTTTTAGAATTTCATTCTCTTTCTTCATTTTTCAAAATTTTCAGGCTCCTTCAGCCTAACCAATTTGAAATTTTTATTGGGTGCTTGCCAATTACTAGAATAGAGAATTCTTGTTTAATCTTATCTATGTAATTGATTGTTCATTGAAATATACTTTTAATGTAAGGCGGAAGATGAATTCTTTTTTTAATTAGTTTTAATCTTGGCATGACTGCTAATCGAGACTGTGATATACTGAGAAGCTAGAGGTAGTTCCAAGAGAGGATAGAAGCAGTGCCTAATACAGTGGTGACTGCTACAAAGACTGACACTTTCAGAAGGCTTGAAGAATGAGAGTCAAGGAATTGAGAAATGATGCAATAGTTTCTCATTTAGGAAGAAGATAAGCTCAAAAGGAAGACATGTGTCGCCCACTGGCACTTGTTTACGTTTTCTTTTTTTATATCTTTAAGAACTAGACATGGTTTATACACTTAGGGAATACGCATGTCTATCGCTTAGACACAAATCAAACACATGATTGTTTTAAAGAAAATAAATTGGAGCCTATGATAAAATTAAAATAATGTAAATTTATACCTATTAATCCCTCATTCTTGGAGTTTTTTAATTTTAGTTTTAAGCGTTTCTAAAAGAAGAAATTAGTTATAGAATCAGTTAAACTACACAAGATAGTGACAGAAGAAAACATTCTCTGTAAAAATTATGATTCAGTGAAGAATTATAATAATGCATTGGCTACAGGATGGAGTGGTTTCTTTACTTCTGTCTTTCTTTCTTTCTTTCTTTTTTTGTTTTCTTCTTCTTTTTTCCTTTTAGGTTGTTTTGTTTTTGTTTATTTATTTTGATAAGTATTCTTCTTCTTCTTCTTGTTATTAATATTATTATTCTTCAGGATGTGTGTTTTCTTTGTTATATAGGAGGTGACCACATCAGGTCTTCGTGAACAAGAACCTGTTTGCTTTTGTTTAATTTTTCACTTTTCTAAATTTATGTTGTGCCTTCAGGAAAGAAGTTTGAGATGATATTTTTATTTCAAATCCCCTCTCAGAATGCTTAGGGAAGTTCCTTAGTAAAACTACTATGAAACTTCGTTATAGTGTCATATCTGTCATGTTTTGTGTTCATTGGGGGTATTCAGAATGATTTCTAGACAATGAAGACTTATTCTTAGATTTCCATTTGTGCTATAAATATTGATCACTGATTTGTCTAATACAATGAACTGATTGATTCGTTGGTAAATTCATCCAGACCAATTTTTCCTTGAAGACTCTCTTTGATTTGATAAATCTCAATTTCTTTCTTTTACCTCTTTTTTTTTATTATTTTTATTGATCGGACAAATGTCTGAGTTTACCTCTCTCTGCAATAATTATGTTTGTTTATGGATTATTATAAATTCTGTGACATTTACTTATGTCCAGGACTTTCCCAGTGGTACAACTTTTCTTAACCTGCATACCTTCATTAGGTATTCTAGTTCCCACTTCCGATTGCATATTAATTAGATTTGCACTTGTCATTTAGCATTTCTAACCCAAATGCTTTTTCCTTTAACAGCTAGATATGTATTGGGTAAATATGCCAGCTATGAATTCAAAAGAATGAAGGCCGTAATATTTTAATCATTTCTGGTAAATATGTTCCTTATCTTAGACCATAATTTATGTTATATATTGGTCCCCACATACCCACTCTTCGTTTGTAGCAATCTTTCTTCTTGGATGATACAAGTATTGCGGATGCAAAGCTGCCATGGAGACCAACTGTTTGATGTTGCATATATGAGTGTTAAAATGGACCTTTTCATTTTCATTTTCTTTTTCTGCATTGCTACTGTGAATAGGATACATAACTGGACCTTTGATGATGTAACTAGGAACTAGTTCTCATGTTTTGTTTATTGGATTTTGGGCGAATTCCTCCCAATGCAAAAGAAAATTGGTTCACTTAACTTAGATTATTAAAAAGAGAAAAAATGAAAACTAGGAGACAACACATTGATCCTACTGGCCATCTACTCAATAAGGATGTGAGAGAATGGAAAATGATAAGAATTATAGGCTTGGACATGATTTTGCTCTGGTATGATTGAATCCAAACCAAAAAAAAAAGAAGTTTATTTCTCTTCTTGTAAACGATGGTTTTTTTTCCTAGTAACTGTTGTTGATCATCCCAGTTTTTACTTTTTATTTCAAGGTTTCCCAAAAACCCCAGCCAGATATTTATTGGTAAAATATAAAATTTCTCATCTGCATATATTTCACATCAGAATATTTTAAACTATTCGAGATCATATCGGTGACTCTTGGATGCATTTATTTTAATGAGTCTAGTAAACACTATATTCACACATTTTACAAGATGTGTTCCTCGATCTTAAAGTAATGCTTACTTTGCATCATAGCTTCCATTGGTGATGACTTTGTTATTCGTGAATGATGTAACTAGGAACTAGTTCTCATGGTTTGTTTATTGGATTTTGGGCGAATTCCTCCCAATGCAAAAGAAAATTGGTTCACTTAACTTAGATTATTAAAAAGAGAAAAAATGAAAACTAGGAGGCAACACATTGATCCTACTGCCCATCTACTCAATAAGGATGTGAGAGAATGGAAAATGATAAGAATTATAGGCTTGGACATGATTTTGCTCTGGTATGATTGAATCCAAACAAAAAAAAAAAGAAGCATATTTCTCTTCTTGTAAACGATGGTTTTTTTCCCTAGTAATTGTTGTTGATCATCCCAGTTTTTACTTTTTATTTCAAGGTTTCCCAAAAACCCCAGCCAGATATTTATTGGTAAAATATAAAATTTCTCATCCGCATATATTTCACAGCAGAATATTTTAAACTATTTGAGATCATATCGGTGACTCTTGGATGCATTTATGTTAATGAGTCTAGTAAACACTATATTCACACATTTTACAAGATGTGTTCCTCAATCTTAAAGTAATGCTTACTTTGCATCTTAGCTTCCAACAATCAAACTGCTAAACCGGATTGTAGCTGCTTTCTGTGACTCCATAGGTTGATAGTTTTTGGCAGATTATAAAAATATTAACAGCATATCTCTATTGATCTAGTTACTCAAAATGTTTTCTTAGGTAGCTGAGCTGAAAAAGAATGAAGAACGAAAGCATCATGTAATCGAATTTCGAGTCATAGAAAAGAGGAAAGTAATGGGGTCCGATTCTGAATTTTCAAGCTTAAAATCAAGAGTTGATGCATTAGAGAGGAGATTGAAGCTGAATCAAAGAAAATGCCAAGTGTCACCAAAACCAACGATGAGGAAGAACATAAGAAGAGGTTGCAGCTTTCAGATGCTGGTTCAAACACCAAAATTGCCACGGGTAACAAACTAGTTTGAAGTTGGAGGAGCCAGCATTGAACTTGGTTTTGAAGCTGCTAAGCAGAAGCCAGAAGTGAATGCCAGCAATGGAGGCATCAGTTGAATGTCTTTGTTGATACAGTTGATTTACACGCCATGGATTTGTTTCTTGGGGCGTTTCACAGTCAATAAAGTTGGACAACTCTTGAGTGAACTAACTGAAAATATTTCTCTGCTATTCCAGCTTCCTCCCTTGATTTTTTCTGTATGTATATTTCTTCATCAAAGATTTGAAATGAACAACCCTACTAGGTTGAAGTTGGAGGAGACAGCATTGAACTCGGTTATTGAAGCTGCTAAGGAGAAGCCAGAAGTGAATGCCAGCAATGGAGGCATCAGTTGAATGTCTTTGGTTGATTCTGTTGATTTGCACGCCATGGATTTGCCTCTTGGGGCGTTTCACAGTCAATAAAGTTGGACAACTCTTGAGTGAACTCACTGTAAATATTTCTCTGCTATTTCTTCTTCATCAAAGATTTGAAATGAACCAAAGAGCTTAGCTCTGAAGGGACACTTCAGGTACAGACAAATTCAAACAGAGGTATGGTTGCTGAAAACTGCGGGGTGTTAACCGCGATTTTTATGAACTCTATATGAATTTCTCTTTTTTCTTTCAAGTGTTTGCATTGGAGTAAAAATATTATAGCAATAACATTTTACCATAATTTTGGAATAAAATTTGTCTGTACATTACTTGTTTAATTTTGGGGGGAAAAAAAAAAAAAAAAAAAAAAAACCACCATAGAATGGTTAAAGCCCTGACTTTTGATCCTCAGCTTCACTTGAAAAGAACTGTTGCTAATTGAGAATTTTAATATTGAACTAGCTCTAGATGATGAATATATAAAGAGTTGAGTTACTCTATTTGAATTTGGATTTGTAAAGAAAAAGAAAAGAACTTTTTTTTAAAAAAATCTTATACTATTTTTCTTTTCTCTATACAAATTTAAAATTTAAAATTCATAGATAGTGTTAACTAGTGAGGGAGTTGGTTGTTGAAATGCTGGCAGATATTAAAGCTATGTTGGATGGTTTTAAATTTTGTTGTGTTGATGGATTTACCCATGTTTATGTGGAATTAGATTCGAAGTGTTGATGGATTTACCCATGTTTATGTGGATTTTCGAACTGGATTATCTTCTCTTCCTTGGCACTTTCATTTGTATCTTTTTTAGACTAAACCTGCCCTCGTTTGGCATAGACGCTAAAAGGTTAAAATTGTCGCAAAAAGATAAAATAAGTTAAAAAATTAATAAGATAAAATGTCACATTTAAATCATAATTATTTCATTTTTATTCTCAGAAAAGTCAAAAAAGTCAAAAAGTCTAACTTAAAATAGTTAAAAAGTTCAAAAAAATCAAAAAACCGACTCACTTCTCAAACGAAGCTGGCCATTAGGGTCTCTTTGGTTATTCATTGCTACCTTTAAAGTAAATTGTGTTGCAAATGCCTTAATTAATTGAGGTTGTGATTATGGTGATTCTTAATTTTTATTTATTTTTTTGGAACTTCCTAGATTGGTTAAGGGTGTTGTGACTTTAGATAGGTTGATCACAATAGTTAATTTTAATTTTATCTTATAATTTATTATTATCTTTTTATCAATTTCATCTAGGTGGTTTTTAAAACTTTTCAGTTCAGTTCTTATGTAATCTAATTTGATGGTTATAAATAATTATTAAAGTCTAATTTGATGGTTAAAAAAATATTATTTCAAAACTTGAACAATTTAACCATATAACCAAGGGGGTTGTTTTTTAGGGTCTCTTGTATTAAAATTTTATAGCATAAAAGACATCTAATATTTTTATAATGTCTAAGGTTCCTCACACATCGATTCAAAAAAATTTCAATCCAGAGAATTTTTTTGGACTTTCAACTCTTCAGAGAAATTCTCTTCAAATTTCTCTGGTTTGCACAAATTTCACTGGTTTGCAAATTTCTCTAGTTTGCAAATTTCTCTAGTTTTCTCTCCAAGGGAATTCTCTCCAAATTTCTCTGGTTTGCAAATTTCTCTAGTTTTCTCTGGATTTTCTACAGAAATTCTCTCCAAACTAGAGAAATTTCCTCTGTGTTTTAAACAAACCAGAGAAAATTATGCTACTTAGAAACAAAAAACAATCACAATTTTCTTTGTGTTTTGAACAAATCAGAGAAAATTGAACTACTTAGAAACCAAAAATAATCACGTGTGATTGTTTTGAACAAACCAAAGAAAATTTGTCAACTTAGAAACCAAAAGCAATCACAATTTTCTCTGTGTTTTGAACGAGAGAAAATTGGCCTCCTAAGAAACCAAAAAACAATCACAATTTTCTCTGTGTTTTGAACAAGCCAGAAAACACAAAGAAAATTGGCTACTTAGAAACCACACAAAAAAAAAAAAAAAAATCACAATTTTATCTGTGTTTTGAACAAATCAGAGAAAATTGGCTACTTAAAAACAACAAAAAAAAAAGAAAATCACAATTTTTTCTATGTTTTGAACAAATCAGAGAAAATTGTGATTGTTTTTCTCTGTGATTGTTTTTCAAAAAGCATTTTATCAAACAAGTTAGTTTCAAAGCTCATAGCTATATGTTTTACAGTTCTAAGAAGAGTTTTCTCAAATCAAATCTCATAGTTATGTGTTTTGGAGTTCTAAGAAGCGTTTTATCAAACAGTTTAACTACTACTAGATATATAAATGTTTGTATGTACCTCATTTGTAAGAGAGAGACCTTGTTCTAGGACCAGTAGAGGACGGAGTCGAAAGAGGAAGAACTAAGAGAAGTTTACTAGGGCTTTCAAACATGAAAGTGACAGTATCACTTCCATCATCAGCCTTGATGGTGATGATATCGTCGTTTACTCCTACCATTGGGTTGTCTTTTCATTGCGGTATGCTTCGATTCCGATATCAGTGAAATCGTCCATGGATAAGGATGCTTTGAGCTTTGCTTGACAGATGAGAGAGAGTTGGAGAAGACGACGACGACGATGAACTTCGGCGATAGAGGTGGAGTTCGTCGAAGAGAGAAGAGCAGAGAGAGAGATGAAGAAAGGGAGAGGTAGTTTGATTTTGGGATCAAATTTTTCTGTGATATATAGGTGTCAAGGATTGAGGGATCTTAAATATCATAAAATAATATTATGAATTTCTTTCATTATTAAAAATGAGAGAGGGACCTTAGACTAATTTTTCATATAACCAAATATCTATCTGATTGCTTGTAGTTTGTTAAAAAAAAATAAAAAATTGAGTGTTTAGTTTTACTGTTCGAAGGGTGTTTTGGAAAGTGTTATTGGTGTTTTGGAAAGTGTTTTTTTTTTTTTTCGTCTTTAGTAAACTTTTTTTTAAAAAAAAAAAAATTTAAAAATTTAGATTTCTAAATTTAGCTTGACAAGGCAAATCGAAAAATTATAATTTTAAAAAAAATTCAAAAAAAATTCAGAAAAGACAAAAGTAAGCAAAAATAAACAATCAATAAACAATCTTTTTTGATTTATTTTTATTTTTTTAATTTTTTTGCAATTTAAAAAAAATATTTTTTAGATTCGTATAGACCAAAAAAATAAAAAATTTTGACATAATTTAAAAAAAAAATCACAAAATATTCAGAAAAAGAGATGATTTTTTTTTTGGGGGGGTCAAAGGAGGCTTTCAAATTTTAAAATGAGATTTTTTTTTTCATTAAATCAAGTTTTAACAGTAATTAATTTGTGCAATTACTTTTAATCTTAGGATTAAATAAATAAAATCAAAATACAGTGATAGTTTAATCGAAAAGATTAAATAAATTTGTGCTAACTTGTTGGGGAACACTTCTCTCTACTTGCAGAAACCCAATGCATCAATTGCAATCACGACAGCTTTCTCGCCATCCAAATAGACCCAAACCCAATTTTCCCGACCAAACCTGGAACTGCATGTCTACCGATCCTCAGCATCCTCCACCAGGTAATCTCCCTCCATTATGTTCTTTTTTCTTTTCTTTTTTTTATCAACCCTCCATTATGTTCGTGAGAACCTAATAATCTCTCTCTCTATTTTCTAAATATACGTATGGGCAAATTACAATTTACTCTCTCAACTATCACTATTTTTTATTTTATTCCCTCAAATTAAAAATTAATACAATATATTTCTTTTATCTTCAAAAAGTTTTTAATTTAATTTTTTATGTCTCCATTATGTTAATAAAATTAACTAGAAAATGTATAAGTAATGTGTGCACATGTTATATTTAAAACAAAAATACATTTTAAAAATCTATCATAAATGACATATGCATATTACATATACATATACAAATTTTTTTCCCCCTAATTTTATTAACATAATGAAGATATAAGGGTTAAATTAAAAAATTTCAGAAGATAAAAAAAATACATTATATCAATTTTTAGTTTGAAAAAGTAATGTGAAAAACAATTATAGTTGAAGAGGATAAAGTATAATTTGTCCTATATGTATTAATGTTGATTTTTATGTACCCTTTGCTCAGAAAATGAAGGAATTGGAAAAGAAGTGAGTGATTAGAATTTTGATTTATTGAAATAAAGAATTAGTTAGCCTAGGTTACTGAAACCAAATATAAGAGAAATTGAAGAAACAAAGATAAAACTTTGAACATTGTATGTTCTAATTAAATGAAAAATTACCCAAATAGTCTTCAGTAGGTTGTCGAGTTTGGTTAAAATAGTTAATAAAAAAAATTCGCATTTAATCCATAATTATTTTACTTTTTTTATTATAATTATCAAATCAATTACAAAAAAAAAGTCAACTAAGATCTCGTTTGGAAAGTTGGTTATTTTAGTAATCTATTTTAGTTTTTGACTATTTTAATATATCAAAATATTTGTGTTTAGAAAGAGAGTTAGATTTTTATTTTTTTTTTAGTTAATTTGATATTTGTAGAAGAAAAAATAAAATAATTATAAGTTTAATATGACATTTTATCTTATTAATCCTTTTAACTTATTTTATCTTTTTATAAATTTTAACTTAAAAAAAACTAATTTTTAACGTCCCAAACAGCCGCACCTACTTAAACACAATTATTTTAATAGCCAATTATTTTAGTAGTGAAAAAGTTGGTCCACATTGTTGTGTCTTTTCTTTTCCTACATTTTCTTAGAAACCGACCAAAGCTTCTTTTGTTCTCAATTTTGATTCCTTTTATATATTCATACATCATCTCTAACCGTTCATCAAATATTTCATCAAATTTAAGTAAAAATATAACCAATTCTTTTATTGATATCAGACACTCTAACAGTGTTTTATCAAAACACAGGACATTCGGCGAGTCGACTGGCAAGTACAATCTGAGAAAGCTTGATCTTTTCCACTTCGTGAGTTTCTATCTGTTTAGTTTTGCTGCAGACCTTGAGGAAGCTATTTTGCTGCAAGAAATTAAGATCAATAATAATGATGAGGCTAAATCATGAGAGAAAAAGAGATTTGAATATGTCTACAAAGAGGGACTTTCCATTTCTAACACAGTTATCATATTTTGGAGGAGAGAGATGAATGGCGTGGGGTTCCTCTTCTTTGGCACAGTGTTGATAGAGAACGTGAAATTGATTACGAGAATTATAGAAATGAAATTCAAATCCAAAGGAGT